TGACATACTACTAGAGGTCCAGGTGGCGCTGGGTGGAGTTGAGCTCCTTGTGCAAATGTGATTGGTTCCCGTGGAGCTCTAACCTGGCCAGGTGTAACAATAATAATTGCACATGATCATCTTTTTTGTGTCTATTTCTGAGACACAGCCCACATCTCTAAATGATAATTCTGTAAACAGCAACTATATTGTAGAGAATAAGATGCGAAACACTACTTTATGCAAAACTCATCAATGTTTTCACAAATTTAAAAATAGGTATTTCTGGTAAATTATCAGTGCATTTAATACTGAATTTAGCATGCTATGTCACATTATCCACACAGCTGAATTCCTGTGAAGGATACTTACTACAAAATGATAAACCTTGAGATAACAGATAAAGACAGGGAAATATAACTAAATTACAATTAACCCTGCTTTATTGACTGTCTCTGTGAAACATTTCCCAGATGACTCATTAAGAGTGTTTACATTCTTGTAATGATGTTTAATGATTTGATTACACATAATAGTTTATGAGACTGTAAACTTAAACCCTGCACTCATGGACTGCATTCCAAGCCTTGACGCTTGTTCCAGCTTCCTTGACTTGCTCCCTTCCCATTTTCTTTTTTTAGCTTCCCCCCCTCTTTTATTACAGGGTAACACAAACAGCAGTTTGCGGCTCTTGGGCAGTGATGATTACGCTTGATTAAACCGAGCTAAGTTTGGGTCTTGGCTATATTCGCCTGCAACTTTTACAGAGTGATGTCAATATAAATAGAATCACTTTCACCCCTCCTTTTTTTTCCCCCCAAAGAAGTCTCATGAAAAAACATTTGTTCTTCTGACATCTGATGCCGTTTTATCTGAGCAGAATCATGTGCCTCTGGTGATGCAGCTATGCTGTACGAAGTAACCAACAACAGCATCCCTTAATCCAATATTTGCCATAATGCATCTATCCCTTTGTTTCTCCCAGTGCAGCACAGCCCTCCAGCACAGAGACAGTCTCCAAGTACAATACCCTTCAGTGTAAAGCCCCATTGATCACTTCTCTGCTGTACAGTCATTGCATGATGAGTGCTTCTGAATAAAGAGGTCTGATCCCCCGCCATACACTGGGGAAACAATGTCTTTTAAACTGACAAATCAGATAACTACTTCAACTTCAACCAATCGATTTCTGAACCACCATTTCCACATTCAAGAAGCAATGCAGGGTGGTGGCAGTTATAATCAGATGAACAAGGAGGAAAGGCAATTAAATCTAGTTTCCATGGCTACCACACTCTGCTAGAACACCGAACAAAAAGATGAAGAAAATTCTGCTGGCGAGGCAAGCAGATCAATGGAGACATTTTTTCATTTATTTTCTTGTTTTATTCAGGCTAAGATTAGCATGATTTAAAATCAAGAGGTTTAGAGATGGCTATAAAAGACTGAATAGCCTAAAGAAAGGAACATGATATGCCTGGCTCTGGAGAGCCAAAATTAAGCAGGTTTTATGGGTCACCATAAAATCAAATAATCAATTTGTAAATATTTGTCACAATTAACATTTTTAATAAAGGTTCAGGAGAGGTGATGGAAACCAAGTTCCCTTTCACCTTTGATACTCTTAACTCATTATCAACCATGACTTAATTTACATGGTAATCCCCTTTTTTCCTTATATTTGTATTTCTGCAGCTTTCCTGCACTACATTCTCCATTTTTGTAGCTATCTCTTGGATAAATGTTAGGATTACCTGCCAGATTGTGTCTCCTCTATACCGGTGTTGGCAACCCCTGGGCTAAGGGTGTCAAAGGCCTGATTACTAAAGCATGATGAACCACATTTTACCTTTGCTGGTAAAATCATTTAGTGTGTCTTTAATAAGAAATTATTGCTCAAATGTTCTTTTAAGCACTTCAAGATTGAATCCTTTTGATTACTTCTGGCTTATGTTCTAGAAGAATTAAAAGAAAGTGTTATCACACTGACAGGTGAAATCCAGATTCATAAAGAACACCTGAACTCACACACGCAGACGCATACTGTACCTGTACATCTCCATTGAAAACAGTCAGCTACAGGCATGAGCAGATATTAATTCATGACACTTTCCATCAATAAAATTGAAATTAAGAATTAAACAGTTTAATAAGTGTTAATTTTATACTATTTTATACTGCCAGTGGTCCTGGGGCCCTTGTTAAGATCAATTCTCAAAATTGGCCAAAAATCTGGTTGCCTTTGTCAGGAGGCTGCGCCTTGACCGAAGGTGGATTTATCATCATGACAATGATCCAAAACACTATTCAAAATAAAGAAATGGTTGACAGAAAAGAACATCAGTGTTTTGCCATGGCCATCTCAGTCCCCTGACTTGAAACCTATTGAAAACCTGTGGTCTGAGCTGAAAAGGGCTGTCCATAAACACACACCTAAAAACCTCAAGGATCTGGAAAGGTTCTGCATGGTGGAATGGTCTAGGATCCCTCCCAATGTGTTCATTGACTTGATAACGCATTACGTACTGCAAGGCTCCACCAAGTACTAAACACAGGGGTGCATATAATTGTGTTTCTTTTATTTTGTGGAAAATAATTCATAAATGTAATGTTTTTTTTACTTGGTTGATTCCATTGAATCATTAATTCATGATAATTAATTCCTTATGTTAGTAATATATTTCAGTGCTTAATGAACTCATTATTTGTTTTATACTTTTTTACTTAATATTTATCAAGGGGTGTCAATAATTCCAGAGTCCTCTGTATGTTATAATAATGTATAATTTTAACATAATAATGTTTATTATGTTATATGTTATTGGATAGCAGCAACATTGGCACAAGGGTAAAAAAATGAACACTGGCGGAAAATTTTTTTTTTTTTTTTTTTTTTACAAAGGAGAGGAAAATGCTTATCTTAGATACAAAATTTAGTATAGCACTGAAGAAAATTAGGATTTAAACAATTTATGGCATGTTAGGTTACACTGGTATCGATACTAATCTGGAGAGTTAATTTCTTAATTCAGTGACTTGCTTTTATTAAGAACATTATGAGTCCTCTTGCCTAGACTGTACTTCATTTGAAAAATGTTGCTGTCAGTGCACTTTTCCAACACAGAACTTTGATATTGTTTATGATATAGAAAAAATAGGCCATGTGTAGCATGATTGAAAAGAGCCGTGTTATTGTTGGCTAAGAACTATAAATATGAGCTTGCAGAAGAAATGAGACTATTTCCTTGCATTTCTCAAGGGAAAAATGCAAACAGCCAAGGAAAGTTACATACAGTATGAATGTATAATTCATTTAATTGAAAAAAACATTACATTTACAGTAATTTGCATGTAAAGCACTAATAAATACATGTAGTTAAAATAATTTTTAAGATGGAATGAAAAGCTCACAAACTCTGAAGTTGTAAAATAGGAAATTAGTGACACAGATTACCAAAGAATGTTTCATACAAAGTATAGGACAAAAGTTCATGATTTGAAAATTCTTTGCAAAAAAAACCCATGTCAGTCTGAACTGGGGGGAGGGGTTCCCTGTTGAAAGCACTGGAAATGAAAGTCCCAATTCCCAGAAAAACTCCTCCAAACAGCAATGATTTTTACAGTTTGAAAGGATTATGATCCAGCATAGTATTCGCAGACAATAAGAGGAACAGGAAACCTTCTTAAAATATGATTTGCTGCAACAGGCTTTTATATACACTGAAAAATATTTATTTTTATTACTATATGCAACCTTTCACTCAGATTCGATTTCTGAAGCACTTATATTGTCCCAGAAGGGGGCAGTAACTACTTAAAAGCCATGGCTCTTTGCCAATTTAATTGCATTTTACCATTTTTGATTCAAGTCACAAATTTTTAATTATATAGTTTTCTCGATTAACATTTTAAATCAGACATCACTTATCGCAGCCTGGACAGATGAAATTCAGGAAAACCCCCCAAAAAGAGTAGGCTTGTATATTTATTTACCTTGTAATTAAGCAGCAGTCATGGATAATGTTGCCTTCAACAAAGACTCCATTTTCTTCTTCACTTTGGACTGGGTATCCATTGTGTTTCCACTGCACTGTGACAGTACTGTCAACATAAGTGGCTGTACATTGCAATGGCAATCTGTCCCCTTGGAAAACAACCTGTCTCTGAGAAGGGATCAGCTGAAATAATGGCAGCTCCAGGGGTCCAACTGGAAAAGAAGATGAAAAGATGGATTTTAGAGATCCACAGGTAGAAACCAGTTCCTAGAAAGCAGGAAAGCATGAATTGCAATTATAAGCTAAAGCTTAATGTAACTTAAACTCCATGGTAAGTGAAACAATGTAAGTTTCAATTTGCAAGAAAAATCCATCTCTTCCAATACTGTTTGGATAGATATTATAATTTAGCAATACCACCATCACCAAGCAATCTTTCAATATCGGAAGTTTGTTATACTGTAGGTTGACCATCATCCAGGAAAAACTTAATCGGATGCCCAGTTCAGCAGGATTCCCATGTCTCTCAAGCATGGTGAGATAATGTAAATACATGTAAATCAATATATTTTTCCAGACAACTGTTTTATAGCAACTTTAGGTAAATTTAATACAATTGTAATCAGGCCAAATTAACTGTGGCACGTTTAACAGAACTGAAATGTTCAAGTTAGAAACATATGCCTGTATCAACTGCAGAAAGCACATATGCGTATCAACAATTTGTCAAAGTAATGTTGTGTGCTGCAAAATTAAGTTCTCAAATGATAAATTTTCTCACTATGGTTTAGAAATAAAAGCATTAAATTCTGCGTTATTTCAAAGTGCTGTTTAACTTTTCCTGTCACTGGAAATTAAGCTAACAATAACTTTTTGTGGGAAAAAAAGCAAATTCTATGGTTGGGCTAACAGGAATACACTGTGTTCCACATTTTACAGTCAATGAACTCGCTGTGGGCAAGCCAGATACGTCTTTCTTTACACTACCACATTTCCTTAATGTTTAAAGAGCCCAAGATGTTTATGTTTCCACTCACGACTCTGTACAGTGAAGCAATTGTGTGACAGCTGGAAATTACTGGCATATTCTTACAGTACCCCTAACACTCACATTTATTTTATCAGTGTTTGATTTCTGCACCTTCTTTTATGCCAGACAAGATGACCATTCCAGAATCAGTATTAGGAAAAACAAAAGAGGTTCATTTTAGCATAAAACATCTGGTATTTTATTTTTATTCTACCCCTATTTAACCATGGAGCTTTACTGAGATATTGCTCAAGTGAGTCCTTGTCAAGAAGGCAGTAGTAACTCAATCACACCATATACGTCAATATTAAAACAACATGAATAATGTGACAAGCAAATTTAAATACCCAACAGCATTACTTAAAAACAAAGTTATTGAAAGCACATACATTCATCAATACGATCATGAGTATAAAAACATTCAATGATGTCAGACAACCAAATCCATTTAAATCCAAAATAATACATCCTTTTAACTGAATTTGAAATAGGATTGGATGACAATTTGTGAACATTTGCTTCCTTTTATCCAGCCAGAACATTTTTATCATTTAAAGTTATTTCTTCTGTTGATCATTAGCTGTTTAAACAAAAAACATTTAAACACTCATTTAACGAACTGAAATGCCTATTAACACTGCAATATATAATACTTTAATAAACTGTACAGAAGACATGGATTTTAATGTACTGTAAGTTCAAGCTATGTTAAAAAAAATCTAAGATGTCATTAACAAATAGCCTTATTAAACTCATTACCTTAATTTGTGAAGACTACTGAATTGGTCTTATTTGAGCAGCAAATATCTTAAAGAAAATGAGACAGCCTGGTCATTAACAGATCTAACACTTGGCAAAGAATCTGCAGAAATTACTCACATTTCTCTGCTTTACCTATTCATTCAGTTCTAATGTCTCTAGAGCTGAAATGAGCAGAGTCCCTGTCCACTTTTCAACACAATTATTTGAAAATGCAGAATGTAGATGGGGAATCGAATCACAAAACATGTCAGATGTATCCTTATATGTATGCTTAATTAAAATCAGTCAAGACATATTTATTCCACTTCAAAATAGAAGATTCATCTTGATGAATCAGTACTGAGTTTTATGACTCAATATTAATTAACTACACATTTACAACAGTGCCAATAGAACCTCAAGCAATCAGGCATTTGTGAATGGATCATCACCCTGAGTGCATCCAGGATGAGACATCATTAGATTCATTACATAAGCACTTTTATCGCACTAAGTAACGGGTACAGTAACTGGTAACTGTACTCATAACAGCTTCTTGACAAAACGTAGAACATTTCTGTGAATATATACATACAGTACACTGCAATGTATGAAAGTTAATATTTTTTACATACAGAGATGTATTGAAACAGTTTATTTTCTCTTAACCTCAGGTATTCACTTAATATTTTTTTGCTTTGTCAGACACTTTCAGGGACAGGTCTCAAGTGTCTTTTTTCTGGTCTTGTAACAAGATACATACAAGTTGCAATTTTATTGTTTATTTGAGTGGCACTGCTGTGCAAAAGTTTTAGACGCCTTCAATGCAAACAGGAGTTATAATATTTTTATCTTATGAGGTTAAACAATGTATTTAAAGCTTTCACCAGTGTCTGCATATCTTACAACAACAATCGACTAAACAGTTCATAACTAAGAGCTGTTGTATGATGGTCCATGATGGGTTTCATACAACAGTTTCTGACCTGCTGCGGGAGTAAAAATGTGCTTTTCTGGAAGTGTTTGTTGTTAATCAAACCCTTTGAGTTTCAATTCAACTGGGGCAGTGGTGCATAAGAAGATTTTTAAAAAGGGTTTTTGAATTCAAGGGTCAGACAATCACCATGGCTGAAGCAGGATCCTGCTTTTTGTCACATCATATTATTGTTCATCTGTCTCAGCATACCTAGCATGATGTTTGTAAGTTTGTCAGGTCTTTGAACACAAAGCTACAAAAGTGTGAAAACATTCTTTATAACCACCACAGCTAAAGCCGTTACAATCACTACAGACTTGTACTCCCTGGAAGTCTAATAAAATATATCTAAAATCTACTGTGAATGATGGAAACAGGTGGCTGATAAGTAGACATAATCATGCAATTCATGTTTTAAGAAATATCAAGTATTGTAATCCAATAGGGGATATGCTTTTGCAAATGCTTTACTTGGTATTTTTTCAACTATTTCCAGGTCAATCCCATAGGCATGGTGCAAGGCTAGAATTACTGAATCCTCTCAAGTGCACTGCGTCCAAATCCTTGCTGAGGTCTGGGCAGTTCGATATAATTAAAAACACACAAGAATGCTTCACTTGTGCTGACTAACGTATGTTTTTCATCCAAGATTTGGGTATGAAATATTGTCAGTAAATGCAGGAAGCTGAGAGTAAAGAATGACACTCTCAAACATCAGACCAAAATTCCCTACAGTTTAAAATAAAACAGAATGGAAATGGAAAATGCAGAACCATTTTTCTTTTGCTCAGGCAGTTATGCAGTCCGAGACATTTCACATAGTGAAAACATTTAAAAAAACAAAGTCTTAAGTTATAAAATAGCTTTCCTGGCCTTGATATTTTCTTTTTCACTTTATATGGGAGGAGGTTATATCTTTGAAATAAAACTCCAGGCTGTTTTCTGCTGAAATCTTCCATGGCTATTTTTCTATTAAGATGCTAAAAAACTGTTATACAGCAATTAAGAATACAGAAGTACAATTGTGTGGCTGAATCTTGAGGGGGTGTTAGCTCTTTCTACAGTAGGATAACCACGCTATAATATTGCAAAATCAGAATTCAAAGAGCACAGAAATTTTGTACATGATTTTTTAAAAGACTGCAGGGGTGTGCCTAACTACCCGCAATCATAGTCTGCAATGCTAGTGTATCAGGTCCCCAAGGCAGACTGTCTAACAGAGTCCTAGGCTGCGTCTTTACTCCACCATCACGGCATTAATATTCATGACCCTAACAAATGATCTAGAACTGACCTTCACCATTCAGAGATCACCACTGGCTTTGATAACAAGCAGGCACAAAGGTTTAAGAAATACTTCAAAAAACAACAACAGTCTTTATAATTTTTGAATTATATTTTTTGCACTCGTGGATTTTTCTCTGAATTCCCAGCTTCACGGAGACATCAAAAACAGCAACCCTAACACATAATTTGCAAAAGCTAAATATTGCTATCAGATATGCTTTACTCTTTTACAGATACTGTACATGTAAAGAGATTTCTTGCTTTCCTATAAACCTTAATAGAGAGAACAAGTATCTCTGCCAAGAAAACTGATAAGAGCAAATCTTATCCTCCTGAACCATATTATTAATACTAAATTGAAAGACTGGAGTCCTCCAAAGTTTATTTTAGCAACCTACTGTATATAAGGTGTAGCAAAGTTCTTCCTTGTTCTTAATTAAACATTGAATAATTATGTTATTAATTCTTAATTATGTTAACATTTAGTTGTGTATTGGAGATATCTGTCAGAATAAGTAGCTACATATACAGGCCACAATTTACAATAACTTGTGCATTTCCAAATGCTGGGGTCAAACATGCAGTAAAAAATAAAATAATGAAACCAGCCAAAACTGTCTTTACTTACCACATTTTAACTGGTGCTCTTTCAGATTCCGGAATTCTAGGCCATGTAAGGAACTTGGGTAAGAGCACCGGGTTTCATTTCCTATTCTGATAGAATTTGCTCTGGCCAAGAGTAAAAGCCATTTAAGGTTACAGTCACAGAAGAGTGATTCCGAGCTGAAGTGCCTGTATAAAACAAAACATAATTGCTAGTTTTTTATATAGTGCCTTTCATAGTACATAATCTCAATCATGAATAATAGACATGGAAAGCAGCTTTGAAAGGACATACGTTTAAAAAATTTACATATACAGTAAAGGTTTCTAAAAGATACAGTAATACTTTTTTTTCTGATTGTTTTTCAAAATGTTCAGAGTGCCTCAGAGTAGAACATGTATTAAATGTTAAATTTTTCTTAAATAAGAGAAAAAAAATATCACAATAAATTGATCCAATTAAAGGCATTAAACGCTGTAGTTTCACAGAGGTGGAGTTGTACACATGTGGAGCCTCGTCTTCAGATGAGTAACAAGGCCTGGATTAGCAGATCTCATATTAAGTGTTGCACTATATATTTGCAATAAACCCTTACAATAATCTGGTCTATTCAATCTCCAATGTGAAGGAGTGCCTGATGGTATGATTTTTAAAAGCTCTTTAAACTCCTTTATCCCATACAGGGAGCTGTAACCTACTGTATCTCGGTAAGGCACAAGGCAGGATACACCCTGAATGGGACACCAGCCCACTGGAGGGAAGACACACAGACATGCACACACTCACACCAGGGCCACGTTTTCCAAGAAGCTAATTAACCTACCAGTATGACTTTGGACTGTAGGATGAAATCAGAGCTACAGGTCACCACAGGTAATCATATAAATGAGTTTAGAACTCTGGTAAGATGCTGAGAATACTTAGTCTGAGAAGTCTTGCAATTTCTTGACAAGGGTGTTATAAATGCATGTATTAAGTGAAGATCAGGAAGATAATTCAGAATCTAATATAAAACATCTGATACAAAATATATGAATTGTGTAGATGGTTTCTCAATTTTCCCAGAAGCCAATTAACCTACCAGTATGTCTTTGGACTGTGGCAGGTAACTGGAGCACCCAGAGGAAAGCATCCCAAACACAGGAGTATACTGTACAAACTCCACACAGATAGCACCCCATCTGGATTTGAACCCAGGGCCCCAGTGCTGCAAGGCAGCAATGCACCACTCTGCCGCTCTTTATCTTATGATTATGAAACAACTGTCTTATGAAAATATATATTTTTTTTAGCCTGCCAGAGTCAGGTATTGTATAAACTTTATAATTTTTTTTTTTAACTTGGTAACCAATATAATTGGTCCAACATCATACATAAAACAAGATTTACTTGTGCTTTGCAACAATTTTAACATAACATTTCTTTGATTTAAATACTATACCTTTAAATATAAAACCCATCATTCTGTTAGCCTGTTTATTGCTTCCCCAGATTATGTAGAAATTTAAAAATCAATGCTCAGTGTTTTCAAATCTTTATTTTATGTGCACCTTTTACAATATATGTTAAAACTCCTAATTTGACATGATGCACAACTTTAATTATACCAGAATATAAATAAAAGGTATAAGTTAAGAGCAGTACTTCCAATATACTGTATATCTTTGTGGTACATCACTAATCCCATATTATCTGTATAACTTTCTATTAAGAAGTTCTTCATACAAATACTGTACATGTATTTCTATAAATGCCTACTGCCTGCAATGTGAGAATTAATCTTTCACTAAGAACTCCTGTTCAAAAACCTCTAACTTTCCTGAATCCATATTGACTATCCCCAAGAATCCTGTTGCCATAAAAATAGTCCTCTAGCTAAATTCTGATCATCATTTCCACAACCTTACATCTATTAGAAATAAAACTTGTCTATAAAAACCTGATTTTGTCGCCCTCATTATGTAAGGGTGCAATGTTAGCATCTTCCTGTAAATCGGTCTTCCCATGTCTCGAGTGTTGGAAGAATTTTGCTAGTGGCCTATGAATAACTTGGCCTTAGTCTCTTGTGTATGGCTTGTGCAGTGGGTGCTATGGGAAGCTTTTTCATGCATTTCTGCAACATACACCAGTGGTTAAGGTTTGGAAAGTGATTTCCTATTATTTGACCATTGTTCTGAACAAGAATATCCCCTTATTTCTCCTAGTACTCCTGCTAAAAAGCAGCAGAAACCTATCAGGGTGGTTGGTCTCACTGTACCTAAAAAGAAGTTGGCAATCCTCCACTTCACTTCCCTGGCTTCACTGGTTTCCATATTACTCACACAACGGAAGGTGGGACATGGACTGCTGTTGCTTATGCACAATGTTACTACATGGACTTAGTACTTTTACTGTAGTGGTCTGACTTCATACTTCATTTTTGGGGTCTTCATTAAAAACTCGAAGTGGGACAATGCTGATGGCAGGAGGAAATTTTGTACTGTTTCACTTGGTTTAAAAAAAAAATTCTTAAAAGTCTGTTTACTCCTTTTCGGGAGTCCTTATTGCTATATTAGTGGTATAGAAGTTCAATATGAAGCAATGAGGACAGTGTTATGAGGTCCTGCACCTGTAGTTTGTTGTCCTTATCTGAATTCTCAAAATTAAATCTAGTTCTGGGGGGTTTTGCTGGCATTTGCGTCACAGTGGGCAGACATCATAATGGGAGGGCTTAAGCACTTGTTTCTGCTTTAGTCTATACTGTATGTATTTAAATAATAGAAATGCAATAGAGATGGATAAACAGTGATGGACATATCAGATAAACAAGATGTAGTCAAAACATGTCAATAAACGAGAGAGGATTAATGCTCTCCTTAATTACAATTATCTTCACAGTGATTCAACTAAGGAATCATGATTATTTGGAATTTCTAACTCCAAGAGACTAAGGTCTATGAGACCTCCCTACCACAATGCAGAGCACAACACTTTCTAAAACAAGAAAAAAAAAAACACATTCTACAATGAGTTACTATAACTTGAAATTAGGGAACGACAGCAGAGACAGCCTTTATGTGGAAATGCAGTAAACCACGTAAATGTACCTTTTGCATTACATTTGTTTGCAGAGAGGGATGAACGACACAGCCAGAATGAAGACAGAATAAAGAGGAGCTGCACCAATCTTGCTGACATCACTGCAAACAGACAGCAAGTCACCAGAGTCATGGTGCTTCTTGCCACTTAACCCAGCATGACTCTGGCACTTGCATGTCACCCCCAGGGGAACTGCATTCACAACTAGCTAACAACGAGTTACTATTTTAAAGTAATTTGTTATGATCCAACCAATCTGAACATAAGAAATACAAAAAAAAAACAGGCTTATATACAGTATCGTTTAAATATACGGATGAAAACTTAACCTCTCATATTTATATACTTACAAGACTTTGAGAGACACAAGATGAGAAAAAAGCCCCTCTGGGAGAGATGAGAAAATATTTCCTGATAGATTTCTGTAATTATATGGAGGAGATGCATTCATTGAATAAGCAGTTAAGCAATTTAAGCAGAAACATTAAAGGATATGAGTGAAATATATAAATAGAGTACAGAATACTTAAAAGACAGGTTTGGAATTCTAAAGACAGTAGAAAAAGCAGAATAGTAAGGCCCTAATTAAATCAGCATTTCAACTAACTTGCCAAATGTAAATTGCAATCCCTTCTATTGGGTACAAAGAAGATGCCGGCAGCAACCAACCCAATGTCATCAAGTACTGGGGTAGTAGTTTGCCACTAGAGGGTCAAAATTCTGATTGAATCTGAGCCGAAGTCTAATTTATTTTTTTTTTTTAAATCAAAGGAGTAACAAATTCTGAGATATGAATGTAGAAAACAATGGTACCTATAAAGGTGTTATTTTATGTTTTGGAAGACATAATTTCAAGGAGTTCACCTACAGATGCAGAAGTATTTCAAGTTTTCTCTCTTAGAATGTCATCTACAGTAACCAGCTACCACAGGTGCACATATTTGTACTCAGAATTCACACACATACAAATCTTTCTGAATATATGTAAGTCACCCTAGATAAGGCATCTGATAAATTACAATAATATTCAAATACAAATACAACAAACTTCTGAAATGCCTTCTCAGATTCTTCTTTGACTGATTTCAGATAGTAGGGACATTTAGGCCATTATGTTGAATGTCTAACATCCCCATTGTCATAATTTTTGAAAATGTACAGCAATGAATTTTACAGTCATGTTTGTTTTAACAAATGAATACTGCTATAGTAATTCAGCATGTTGCTAAAAATGGAAAATGAACAGTATGGGTAAGAACACTCCAATATTTATTGGCAGAGGAAAACAAAAATATCTGGCAGACACTAAGCAACCAAAGTTGGTTTAAATTATATATATTACCACATTTTTTTATATGGTTACACTGAAAAAATAAATATATACTTACAATTTTGATAGATTACTGAGGTCTACAAACATTTCAGCAGATAGGCAGCCAATCCTGTTGTTGGAGAGATCCCTAAAGTAACAAAAATACCTTTACTATTATTTATTTAGAATTATAATGACCTATATAATATTCTTCTTATGCAAGTTAGTCATCTGATGTTTAGTGAAAACTAAGGTGTATATTTTTAAAATACACTTGAAAATTAATATATTTTAAATCTACAAGTATTTTTTATATCGCCATGAAATCAAGTTTTCAAATTTTAAAGGCAATTAACAAAAATGTTGTGTTACGCTTTAAAACAAGGGCATAATAAAAAGCGCAGTGCATTATAAGCATGACAATTTTATGAGCTGCAATAAAACACTGTTACACAAAGTAAGCCTCCAAATTCTGTATCACAACACCTCAAAGATATATTTTTGATGGTTCAGCTGCAACTTATTGTTATAATTTATAATTTGTGAAAACAGTTTGCAACATTATTCTTTGCATGATTGAAAATGTTTCAACAGCTAAAGATGCAGTTTAGATTAATCCAATAAGCATCTTAATCTACAGAGAATGCAAGAAAATTAATAGTTCAGTAACAAAGTTTTTAATTATTCTTTAATATTCTTTTTGTGCAGGCTTGAAATGGCAGGTTAAGGATGACATCCCACAGCAGATGATGGTTGCATGGTTTATTTAGAAGGATTTACCAGATATAAGATTAATGATAACCTCTTGCACCTCCGGGCAATGGCTCTTTTGAAATCACAATAGGTGTGCCTTGTTCATTTGCTCAATGTTTTTGTTACTTTCTTAAATTGCCTTTTGGAATCACAGTCAAGCTTTGTTCACCCCGGCTGTTTTAATTAAAGCTCTGTTTTCCCAAAGCCTTGGTAAGAGTGCAAACAAACTGTTCGGCGTAATCACCAGTCTGGGACCTTTCAATTGACCTCAAGGTAGATTCAATTCCCACCGCCATTCCAAATCAAAACCATTATAATTAAATCACTTCCAGGAACATTATAAAGTGTGAAACTGCTTCTACTTTTCATGTTTCTCTTACCACATTTAAGGCTGGTTTAATGTGTCAGAGCAATTTCACTTTCATACAACAGTAGCATTTGCACTTTGATGTCACATCTGCAGACAACACCCACATTCCAAAATGTTGAAGAAATTCCTTTTAGGTACCCTTTCTTAAACCTGTATATTAAAATAAACATCATGTAATAGGAAACCAAGAGAACTGATGCTTGGTGATCAAGATTTAAATTACAAGGGAACTAAAGTTAATTTCAAAAGAGAGGGATTTTTAACAAGAGCTCTCTTTGTAGACCTGCTGGTACAAGAGGAAACTGGCTGTAAAACTGCAGATTAAGAATGAACACTAAAAAGCAGAGGGTAAATTTCAGTTTATTTTAGCAGACAGTGGGATTTAAAATGCTGAAATGTTCAAGCTGATCAAGTAACAAGACAGATATTTGTGATGTAATAAACCTGGGTGTTTTCCAGCAGTTAATTCTGACTGCTAGATCTTTTATTTTTGTACACTGTAGTTCAAACTGCTCTGAAACCTGTTACACGAATATAATATGTTCTGAACATTATTTGAGTAAGATCACACAAAACTATTTCATACTTGACCTTCCAGCCTTATGATGCTATGAAAAAACAAGGGTTTGCCAAGGTAAAAAAGGACAGATTCATGTCAGGATTGAGAGGAAATGCATATACAGTAAGGATTTAATGAGGGTAAATTTCCTATGGCATTCTGTATGTGTCAGACTCTGATGAAGAACTCTACTGTCCTATGCAGTTACAATTACAGTAGCACTTACAGCCTCTTCAGTTCTGAAAGTCCACGGAAAGCCCCAGGCTCAATGATACTAATTAAATTATTCTTCAAATCTCTGAAAAAGAAAGAGAAATATTACTTGCAGTGTCATGATGTATTATATATTGTAATATTAACAAAAGCAGAGTAATGCATTTCAGACATCACTGCTAGCAAATCATTGATACTGCTCATAATTTACATCTCCTGTAGAGAATCTAATGACTTTATGTCCAAATACAGAGATCACTTCTTCAAAGAATATACATTTACCCTTAAATGTCAATAATTTAAAAGATGTAGAAATGTTAAATATTGTTTGCAGTTGTAGAACAGATCTAAAGAAGTGAGCTGGACACATATCATATGACTTTTTTAAAATCTAACCCTGCAGCAGATTGGGATACAGGTCATAATCATCATGATAAAAAATGGTGTGCGCAGATACACTGAATTAACTCCAGTGGAAGCAATTAAGGCTTTTTAATATTTATTCAGAATTTTATTCTTTATTGAGAACTATTGTCTTTAATTCTTCACCTTCAATATTATTTACTGCTACTACCTGCAATTCAGTTATGATTTTAAATTGAAATAAAAGTTCATTTGAACAAATATTTTTCAGTAATTAATATGTTCTTAATTTCCCTTCAGGACATCGCACTTCTTAATGTAATGTAAACACTCAGCTGAATGTTTTCACAAACTGTATTGCAGCTTAAGTATCAGACAGACCAAGAGCTCTAACAGAAAAAGTACATCTGTAATACAGTACTACATAATTATACAGTACATTGATTAAGGGTACAGTGGAGTGGATATGCGAAGCTCCCATAAAACCTTCCTCTTAATGATCTGACATCATAAAACTACCCTAAATCCTGACACATTTGCAAAAAGACAACATAAATAAAAATAATGCAATTATTTCACTCTCTGAGGCAATGTTCATTTTTAATATCCGCTCTTCCACTAATTACATGTTTCTAAAAATGGTTTGCCTTTCTATGAGAGACATTTTCTTGTCCAATACAAACTTCCTGAAATTGTATCCCAGTTTCCCCTCATTCCTGTTCACTACAGAGTCCACTTAAGAGTGGACACTTACAAGGAACAAGAACAGGTTTTGTTAATCCTCAGGTCTCAACATCAGAGACACTAGGTAGATAATATAAGTGGATTAAATACATATAATGACTTTGCAAGGCAAACAAGCCTCTTTTTTAAAGAAACCATCATAAAAAATAGCTTATTCAGCCAGTACAACCAATGAATATAATAGTCTATTTAAGAGTCATCCTGCATCAACAAATACTGTAGCAATACTATTATCTTACATTAGATGGTAAATAGAGCAGACAGATTGACATAACTCAGAAAACTCCACAAAAAAGACAAATGTCTAGGTTTAGTAGTGTGGCATTACAGAGATGATTTAGAGCATATAGAGATTATATAATGGCCTAATACATTCTGAGCTGCAGTTTGGTCTGTTTTATGCGTTTTTCTCCTCATTAGAGTGTCTTCCAAAAAATACTTCCAAAAAAACAACTGATTTGAAAAGTTATTTTTACATTACTGTTTAAATATGTTGGCACATAAAAAAAACTTATTAACTGTTGATCTAATACTGATGGTTTGGGGTGCATCCCTTTCACGAACAAAATTGATGAAATTGCAAAATGACTGAACCATAGTAATCATACTGCTTATTGCTTGCTTAACCTTACAAAAATCTTCAAAAATGTGTTCTCCAGTTGGAAAAAAAAAAACTTTTCAACTTATTCAGAACTTTTAATGCCTTAATTAAAAATCCTCAAAACATATTTGCTCCAGCAAAATTTGTTCATTTTTTTTTCCAATGAAATTGTTGGATGACTTTTAAATGGCATTTAATAAATTGATTTATTCTCCATTTAATGACATGTAATATATTTAGAGTCATCAGAATCAAATGTTAAGATACACTTCCCTTTTGCAATTACTTGGCCATTAAGATTAAGTCATTGAAAATGATATTGGTCAACACTTTTAGCTTTGTTATTTGAATTTCATCTTTACAAAATATTACAGCATGTGGAATTCTCCACCAGACAAATGCTGGAAGGCAGGATACAAGCTGCAAATCAGACTGACTGGTGTGTTGCGATACTGAATTTCCTTTGGGCACAAAAAAAGTTTAAATTTATTGTTTAAACAAATCATTCTGAGACATTCAATCATAAACATTTGTGTGGGCTGTAACAGGTCAAAAAAAATATGAGCAAATACCTAAGCCTGAAAAAAGTATATTTTTAACATAAGATCAAACACTTATACAAGAAATTGTATATGGCCAATAAAGTGATCATAAAATACTTTAACTTTCACTAATGTTAGCAGTAGCAGAAGTACAAACAGGAGCAGATGTACTGTAACTGCAGTAACATTACCTTTATTTGTACTAGTCATCACAGCATAGTGCTAGTTTTTGTAATAGACAACAAGAGTAGGCATACCTGTTGTCATTATCATGGCAGTAGTAATGACAGTAGATAAACATTTACAGTAACACTATATAGACAGTGACATTTAACAGTAACATCTAAACAGGGAATGTAAAAATGCTTCTTATATTGGAAGTGAAGTAGAATTTTAAGTCTTTCTTTTTCAGTGCTTGCATGCTATTGATGCAAGTACGCAGACAAAATTAGTACTGCAAGACATTGTAAATATCTTTTACACAAGGTCATTCTCTCTAGACTTGATAATATGCTTTGGATCATTTGCCCAAAATCGAAAATACATAATCTCATGATCGTCCTATTCCCCTTTACCTACTTAGCACTTATAAGCACCACTGGAGCACAGATAATTATTTTGCCACACAAGCTGAAGTTTTCAGATATTGCAGAGGTGTCATTCTGAGGAATGTTAACCAAACATTTGACCTGCTATTTTACCAAAGACTACAAATTGCTATGTTTTAACATACAAAATAACTGTAAAATGTTATTCATCTTTATATAGCATGCTAATCAGATAAAGAAAACAAGACTGCATTACGCCTGGATGAAAATGAAGTAAAAACAAATATTTCTATTTCCTGAATATAAGGCCTGCATTTCTTCAGTCACGCAGACAGCCAGTAAGGAATATCAATCACCCGTTTCTGTTGTATAAAAGAAACTTAATTGCTAAGGGCAAAAACCTACAGCTGGATAAACTCAAGGAGACGAATGTTTAAAAAAGAAGCATTTTTCGACTCCCCAGTGTTTGATGTGCAGAACTACATCTGTAGTTCCTGCTTGCCTGCTTCCTCTGAAATTCGGCAATAAAGCTTATATCTTAAAAGTTAACATTTGCAAGCCTACTGAAGTAGGTCTTCATTTTTCACTGCTCCATGGCTTTTAAATTCATAACTTTATGGGAACATCCACTGACATGGACATTCAGAAATTTCATGTAGAATTAAGAGAAAGATGCATTTCTCAATATTTATGTAGAGGTGAACAAACCCACTTGGCTACATACAGGAACTCTGAGGTCACACAATTAAATTGTGGGGTTGATAAAATCTATTAAATGCATACAGAATTCTAAAGAAGCTGCAAGAAGAATGTTTGAGTCTCAGTTTTAATGGCTATGTAAAACAAAACTTTAATCCTTAAAAAAATGTACCAAGGGAAATTTGCACATTTGGTATTTTTACCTCATTTTTCCTATGGTGTTAACATGCCTTCATTGTGCTTTACTACACTAGATTTTCAGTATGTTTCTAATTAGCATATCAGATATCACTGTTTATACTGGGGGATCTCATAGGTTACTTGGGGTCTGCTATAGTAAAGCACAGTTGTTAAAACCACAGGGACCCCTATCAGCCTTAACTGTGATGAAAGCTCAAAAAATACTAGGATTAATTCACCATGATAAGATTTCATACATGAGATCCACCATCTCTGGTGTGTTTACTAACTCAATTTTAAAAGAAAAGTTAAAGTAGTTCAAAGCAGAGCTGTCGAGAATATAGAACATTCGGCATGCTCTATACTACTTCTGTTAAAAAGGTTGGTAAGGAAAAGGTCCTGTAATACAAATGTGTCCATTTCATTCAACCTAGTTATTATAAATGTGGGAGCTCTAGGGGGTAGGAAGAATTATGTTTCTGTGCAGTAAAATACTGGGCACCCTTCTCTTCATTGAAGTGGTATTCAGCTCAAATGAATGAGCGAATGAACAAATGAATGATACTGTACTAATAGGTGCTGTCAAATATTCAGAAAATTACAATGGAGATCATTAGGTTCAGAATCTTGGGTAGCCCACAGATAAGCAGAACTGTTGGGTTTCTGTGATTTTCTGTGGGCAAAATGGTTTAGAACGGAGATGCAAGCTACTGTGCTAGGGCCGTTTTATTGCATGCCCTGAGGCATCACTTCCACATTTAATATTTTTGACTCATCCAACTTTCAGTCCTTTACAAGAGTGAGCATACTTGCAGTTCACTCTTTTCTTTTGTTACATTGCTAAAGGCAGCACTCCTTCCACAGAACGAGCAGCTGAGTATCATATTTTCCATACAGCTCAAGATGTTTGTTTGATGGCCTCACAATATTTGTATGTTCAATAGACTCACAAAATTGATTTTTTCCTTCTATAGTTGTTCTTGGTTCTGCCATTAAGTGTTTACCTAAAAGTGAGGAGCTCCCCACTAAAGGCTAATTCGGTAAAACCATTTTTAATCAGAAACAAAATACCACATCCATCAGGAGCATTAAAATTTTGCCACAGGCTATGCTATATAATTGTGGGAGGGGTAATAGGCAAGCAAATGCTGCTGTGAATACGCTGAATGTCTGTGGCAGTTCATTCACCAGAAGACAGTTAAATTATTCACCCATTGAGGACATGATGAGTGGGGAAAAAGCACAACCCCTATTGTACTCGGAATAAAAAGGAAAGAATTCACATTCATGCAACAAGTACATGTAACAAACTAATGAGGGGAAAGGCCATTCTACGACAGAAGAGTTAAAGCTTCACTGAGGAGCTTTCAATACAATGTTACAATTGCCTGTTTTCTGCATCAGTACC